TATACGCTCCGCTCGCTTCGCTCGCTCCGCAATGTCATTTAACATGAACAGAATGTCTGTCGTTTTCTAGATCACTACAAACTACGTGAACTGGGATGTCTTACACGTATCTGTGGGCCGTGCGGATGCAGACGCTATTGAACGCTATAAGTCATTCGAGTTTATCAAGATTATTGGTAGGCATACACCTCAGTGAAACACAGGATCAGTCGTACACTCAGATATCCCCTTGAAACCGGTCCTCGTCTACGCGCGCTATCACAAACCGTAGTGGTAGCATACTATAGTTAACCTTTTTTATCCATTTTCGTCACTCCCGGAGCGGCATTTATAGTCCGACTCCCTGTCGATGCTGAGTTAGTCAAATGCTTTTGATTTCAATCGAAAAATGTCAACAAGTTCTGGTCGTTTGCAGAGCGAGTCGAGTTATATAAAGCGAAAATTGACGAGCCCAGTTTCGGCCTGTTCATGCTTGCAACCACTGTTTTTTTCTGAGCCGCTACATGTATGCGCTCGACCTCAGTTTCACAATTGCCGACTCGTTAATTTTCGATTCGGGTCATTTCGACATGCCTACAAACTATTCCTCCTGAACCAGGAAAAGCTCAAACAGAGGAAAAGAACCAATCTGAAGCTCAATGAGACGGATCAAACTATAAAAAACTCTACGCAGTTTCAACCTGTGAATGTATCGCACAGTGTTGAAACATATGTCCACTCTCCTCAGCTGAGCTCAAGAGTTTCTTCAGATTTTATAGGAGTTTACATACGGATCCAAATAGAAGTGTGCAGGAAACAATAATAATTTTATTCCACGCCTCAGAATTTTATGTTGTCCCCAACATATCTTGTTGACCATGTGCATATTTCCGCGCCCTGGAATCGCACACAGTGTGTGCCACACTGATTAGGGTAACTTCACTCGGACATTCATGCATCCTAAAGCGTGTGTCCCGTAGCCCTGTAGGGCATTTATGTCCTCAACTCAATAATTGCTCTGAAATAACGGAAGCCTTCATAGCTGATATTAAGAAATTTGCTTCGATCAAATCCTCAAAAACATCAAAAATACAGCACGTGCAATTGCTGACTCAACTCGAACCTTGCCCCGGGGTGGGATCAAACCTGAGCACATATACCATCGACCATCGCTTCAACACTGTTGATAGTCTTTATTGTGCTTTAATATGTTTACACACATGTTGTCGTTTTACCTCAGTTCGAACCTCTGACGAACTAGCAGGCATTCTCTCAACGAATACGACATAAACATCGTCAACAACAATGACAACAGCCGCTTCGAAAGAGCTAATTTTTTACCAAGGAAGAAAATTATGAAAATAGCGACTTTCCGGTGAACAATCTTAGTATATATGTTCCCTTTCCCAGCTGAGCTCAGGAATTTTACATTTAAATTAGAGTGGAAGGTCTACAGAAACCATCGGGTATTCCCTAAAAATTTCAGATCGTCGTTAATCATGTGCGTATTTACTTTTCTATTCTCGAAAACTTCAATATTTTACATATTGCCAGAAAATTCTTCCCGATTCAAGATTATGAACACTGCTTACCAATACACGACCGCAACAATGATATAAGTTAGTTGGAGCATGAGACCTTCAAGCCAGTTGGTCTTGCCGTTCACCACGATCGACATCGCGATTATCACCGATAAAACCTTAAGAACGCACCCATACAGGAATACAGATCGATTCGTTCGCTTACCAGGATCACTACACCCAGCATGCCGAAATTGAGATCCATGGAAATGCTCATGCACCAACCCACAATAACAGCGAATGGCACCTGAGCGTGACACACCCGGGTTCGAACCCTGCAGTGAGCACTTTATTTCATTAAACTACTTATATATTACGCGTGATATAAAATTCCTTTTTGATGTCGCCGGCATAACTTTTCATTGCCCAAGGGGAGCAGAATCAGATATTATTATGTCGCGGCTTATATACCACAGTCTAGTATAGTACTAAGCTATAACCGCTAGTGCAGTTCTATCCAAAAACGATATAAAAGATTCTCGAAAGAAGACGACACTGTGGGAAAATATGCACATGATGAGCAACAACTTGGTGGTAACATGATGAAGATCTTTAGGGAAAATCTCAATTATGAACTCATGTAATTGCTGAGGAAACTCCTGAGCTCAGATAAGCAGAGCAAACATATATTCCAACACTGAGTGGCAATTTGATATTCGTAACACTTACCACGAAAAGAGCAATTTGCGTGCACGATCCAACCGCGATTCCAATTGCGATTTCAGGCTTATCAACTATACACATGCGAATGGCCGAGGCATGTTCACACGCATTGCCAACTATTGGTAGTAATATCACACCGATGAACGATGAAGATACAGAATAGCTCGATCTGAAAAGATTCAAAATAGGTCCGAAACAGGCCATCATCTGTGGCAACTCACACAACTCCTTCAATCGACCCCACCAGATACTCCGAGTTAAGCGCTACCAATAAAGTAGATACCTATAAAAACAATACTCAGTATTATGGAAAACTATGCACATGGTCTTGACGACAATACGGGAATTTCGGGAGATTCTTGTTCGTTTCTGTACACTTTTGACAAAATTGAACTCCTACGATTAGTGACAGAACTTCCTAACTCAGCTGAGGAAAGCGAAAATATATTCCAACGCTGCGAATACTCCCCCCAGCGTGAAAGAATATGCACATGAGTTGGTGATGATACCAAAACTTTGAGAAAATACTGTTAGTTCCTGTACACTTTCCGTATTAAACTCTGAGTGAACTATTCAGCTCAACCGAAAGAAGCGAATATATTTTGAAGCACTGACTTCCCCTGAGACCTCCTCCTTACTAATAGTAATGTTAAAGACGTCGGAACGTTTATAGTCGGCTCGTCCTCATTTTCGCCGCCCTCGCTTTCAAAGATCGACAAATGAGTATACCTGACAACTCCCCGGTTCGATCCCAGCACGTGACATTTTAGTGATACATCTGGAAGATCAGAAAACAGATGTAGCTGAGCAACAAGAAAATGGAGACGACTCTGGAAATCTCCAAAACGGTGCTTTGCAACTCCGCCTTCTCCATTTCGTGCTTGAACCCTGCCTCGAATACCTGAGTAAATCGCCGTGGGGAAATTATTCCGAATTCGGAATTTTTCCCACCGTTGGCATTGCAAAAGCCGCACAAGCTAGCAGCAACATGCTCATGTTCGTCATCGGACCCGTCTCTTTAAATTCTTGTTCTTTTCCCAAATGGCCGATTCCTCCGAAGAAAAAGGACATCCCCAGCACCTGAAAGTTTTTCAATCGGAAAAAAGGGGGAAAAATTCCGACAGAAAACTTGTGAGAATTCCTGCGGGAAAACTACGGGCTGAATACTACATGAACATCGACTCTATAAACTAAACTGAGCGAAAAATTCCGACGATTATGCTAGAAAATACCACTTACCAACAACAGGTTCGACAAGATCGACCCCAACAGTGTTCCTTTCACAACTGTCACGAGCCCCTTCAACAGAGATTGAACTGTGAGGATCATCTCAACTGCGTTTCCGAATGTCGCATTAAGCAGGCCGCCCAGCGTGTCATTTCGGAGCCCGACTGCGAGCTCCTCAGTAGCATCACCTGAGCAAACGATGCACAATATCAGTTATATTTAAAAGACACTTATATTGTTCCCGGGAAGAAACTCATTCCCACATGGCTGGGAACATATTCTCCAATCAGTTTTCAATGTAAATGTCATCAAGTTGAAAACGCAAAGTGGCGTGATACTCCACGTGAAAAACGTGATATTCGAAAAAAGAAAAAACACTTCGCGAAATACACCAGACAAATCCTGTCATCAAGCCCTGCGGCTCTCAAAGTTGACGGGGTCCTTGATAATAACAACATGAAACTCGACGATTCTTACCAAGAATCTTCGCGAGAGGTATCAAGGCGATGAAGTTAGTGGCGAAGACCCACGCAGGCGACCACCCCAGAATGCTGGATGCGACGCCGATCGGAGTGAAGACGCAGAGTATCTCGAGATTCGAAAAAGTGATATGAAAAACACCAGAGAAAAACATATTTCACGACTACTGCATATCACCGCGAATATCGCGGTTTTCACCTCGCGTAAAACGGATGAAACTCCGTCGTCTAGAGCTGATATGAATCGTTCTAAGCATGAACATTGGGAAGATATGAAGTTCAAATAATAAGAAATTTGCACTACATGTGTTGGTGGCAATATTAAAATTCTGAGGAATTCTTGCAAAATTCTTCTTGGTTCTACCCAAATTCACACGAAAACTTCCATAATAAGTGAGATAACTCCTGAGCTCAGCCAACGTATATTCCAACACTGATTCTGTACCCAATTTTCATACTGTGAATGACCAAGATCAGCTGCGCGCGAATTTTTCGATCGGACAGTATCGTATTCCCGCCAACGCACATTCACGGGGTCCAACAGAAGAGCCTTCAAGCCGATCAAATTATTCGTTTTCACACCACGAGCCACTTCGCTGCCTGAAATAAATACCGACTTCGGAACGTTTTTCCCCGAGTAAAATCAACTCACCCGAGCTTTCGCCAGCTGACGGGGCCGTCAGTGGTCTCGTGAGATCGGGGAACTCCGACGAGGCGTAATTGAAAAACCGAGTTCGCCTCTGGTGCGCCGATGCTTGACGGAATGACACGTTCGCCATGAAAACGTAAATATCTGTGTAAAAACATCCATTTATCGGAAATAATTACCCCAACAACAACAGCCGAAAGCGGCGAATCAAACCATCCATGGAAACGGCAGCTGAGGTTCCCTAAAATCGTCGTCAAGCCAACACTCGAGCACATCGCTGTAAATAACAAAAACCTGAGACCCGGCCTTCTCGCTCAACCGAGCCAATGTGGCACCAGCTTTTCGGCGATTATATGAGATCTCTTTCAACCTGATATTCGATAACTGTAAATCAACAAAATCGAAATTTTTCGGCGGATGAAACTGATGGAAAATGGCGAAAAATTATTTCATGTTTCTAATTTCGAGATGAACTCGACGTAAAATTGGGAGAAAGTACGAAAATGTTCCTAGCGTAAATGACCAAACACAAATTCGCTAAATTTGATGTGTTTTCTTCGATATTCAAAAATGGCAAACGAGAATCGCTTCGCTCCGCCGTGCTTACATCGCCGCTGCAGGGTACCGGAAGCACACGGGTCGGTCTGTTCGAGAGGCGATGCTGCGAATAAGCGGATGCTCATCGATGTCCTCCAAACCACAGCTGTTGATGGACAAAACGACAGCTGCCGGGATCGAACCTGCGACCGAGAAACTGAGGGCCACTCTTGCACATGTATAGGAATTGTATAGGAATTTCTCATCGATCTCTACACGTTCTTATCCCAAGTCTTGTATAAACTCAGCTGAGGAAAGCGAACATATATTTCAACACTATCAGCAGTTATTCAATTCGGCGAGCGAAGTTGCTTCCTATCAGGTGCTGCAATGGTTTAAGTGAAATTACTCAGTAACTGTATTTAGAATCAAGCTTTGATGATCCTATTGTAGATAGAGTCTCTAGGTTTCATAAACCATTGCTTTTAGTTCTCTTATGGCAAACATCATCACAAATTTTTTTCAAAGGGGTAAACTCACAAGAGTATCTTCATACTCGTCTTTTACGAACCGTTCAATTCGGTGTTGGAATATATCAATTATACAAGTTCACACACGAATTCGAGAGAAAAAGTGTTCCGCACAATTTTCATATTATCACCAACACATGTAGTTGACCATGTGCATATTTTCCTCCCCACTTTCATTGACATTAAAATGCTTCCCCAACTCACCGTTATCATCAACCTCTGTAGACGCCCGAGCTCCAACCGCCTTTAATCGTCCGAGTAAATATTTCCGGTAATCACCAACGATGTTGTTCTCGTCTAGCAGCAAAACAGCGCCTTCAAAGAAACCCCCACCGACCAGTTACTTCCGCTTTTCTACAGCCTCGAATCAGCGGTTAACGTACTTAACTCTGTTTTGTACTCTTACGAAGAGTCTCATCTGATCGTGTT